TTTCCACACCTAGAAAAGTTCAATCTTAGAAGTCTGGCTTCTCGTGATCCATGTAATTACACATTCAGTGATGATGAGGTCTGGACTCTGGGGTGGTCAGTCCACTGTTCTGAGAACACAAACAGCTTCTTTGTTTGATTTGCAAATGTTTTTCTTTTTTCTCTATTTTCTCAGTAAGGGCTTCTTGACAGCTACACATCGTTTCAGACTCTTAGTGTTGAGTTGTCTTATCACAATGAAAATGTTCACTGTTTATTTTATACAGCAAACAAAGTTAGATATGGCATTTTCTGCAAGTTTTAGTTCATAATTTTCATTTATTTTGTGAGTTTAACATAAAATATTAACTGTAGCTTTTGCCTAGTAAGAAAATCAACAACACATGTCATTTGACAGGGGCACACAAACCTTTGCACACAACTGTATCTAATGTCCTCTGAAATGTGTCCAGAAAAGCTAAACGTATTGGCCGTTTTTACTGGAAATGAAGTTTGGTATCTGACAGGACTGAACGTAAACTGTATAATGACTGAGACTGTATGATGTAAATACTGAAACTTGAAACAGCTGTTTTGAAGTACCTTATTTTACATAACACTGAGCTTTTCTTTTCACAGTTAGACATTTATGGCATCAGATCTGGCAATGCATTTGTTTTAGAAGTGCCAAAAGAACAGAAATGAGATGGCTGTGACAAGAATCTGTCAAGGGAATCATCAGCTGATGAAAGCAGAGATCTGCTGAACGAGAACGCTGTTGTAGAAACTTCTGAGAAACAGTTGAGAAAGTTTCCGAATTATGATCCATTGTAACTTTGTTGTGCCATATGTGGGACTGGTGTGCTGTGTGGACTAACTGTACGCACACTAGAATGGCACTTTCAAATGCACAGTTCTACCCCTCCAGCTGAAGACTTCCATTCACACAGTGTTGAATGTGTCACAGATGTGACAGCCCCCCCCCCAACTTGTCAAAAAATTCTAAAATATGTCTATATAACCAATACTATAATGTGTAACATTACATCACAAGCTCACAAACATGTTCTGGGGCAGTGCATGAAGCCCAGGAAAACAAGGCTGTCACTGGCATGATGTCAATCATCTTAAATTCTTTTCCATCAGAGTGTTTTTGTGCCCTGGGGTTGCAGGTCACGCTAGCCACTGTAGAGTTTGTATTCCCTGATTTCTTCACATTCCATTTATTCTGAATCAGACAGAGTTCAAACAGGTCTTGTAGCCCTGAGCCCACCGCTCACTTTTTCGTCGGTTTAGATTTAGCCTGCAAAACTTCCATCTTTCTGACTCATCAGGTTTAGCTGTTTCATCAGTCTTGGCAGGAAATATGACTGGTTCAGGGATTGTTCCCTAAAGCAAGTCCGTGTCAAACAGCCAAGGTAGTGACAGATTTTCTTTTGCCACTGAGAGTGCTGCGAACCAATGATGAGGCCCTGTTTCTAAAAAAAAACTTCGTCCTTATTTACATTGCATAGAAATCCTTAGTCATCACTTTCTTAAGTTTTTTTTTCTCCTCGAGGGAAATGTCAGTCTCCTTTAGGTATTATTCAATTAGTTCATTCTGAACCATCTTTAATATTTCATCAGACTGTTTGAATTGGACCTGTGTTTCGCTGCTTCAGAATCTGTGATGTCCGTTCTAATCTTAGAGTCCACTGAGAAGTGGCCCTGTGCTTGACTTAAGATTTTTGCCGAATCAGCATTTTTTTCTGATGTAGCTTAACCAGATTGTTGTAGATATTGTAGCTGCTGTTTGCCTTGTGCTTTTTGACCTTTGCACTTGTTTAAGTCTTACTGAGCGAAAGGGACGGGCCTTGATCTTGGGGACTGGCCGCTAGTTCTTCCTGTGGAATATGACCTAGCACTCAGATCCAAGAAGCGATTTTTGCTTCTTAGGATATGAGGAAAAAATGTTGTACTTCAGTACAGGTGGGAATTAAAATGCCACTGTAATGCTCTTCTTAAGACAAATTAAGCCAGTAGCTGGTAATTAGTGGCTGCGCTTTGGTAATTTATTAAGCAGTAACTAGATTAAATGAAGCATTCAGTGCACTTTTATTTGTGTATTATACATCATAATCATGTGCACAACCATTACCTAAGCGTTGGTACTGTAATGTACTCTAATGTGTATAATGTATAGTGTCTATAATGTATAATTTTCTTATGATTCCTGTCAATGCCTCAAATAATGACTTAGCTCTCAATTAAGACTTCGCTCTATTCTGAAGTGACGATTTCTAATTAGCATGTACAAAAAGGGGTGAATTTCTAGTGTGTAGGCCTTATTTGTACGTGGGTTGTGCCATGTTAGATTGGATCTCCCCAGATTGTCTTAGCAAAGCACTATTTGGAGATGCTTAATTCAGCCTAGTGATTACTTAATAAATTAGTGAGGGGCAGCCTATTGCTGAGAGGTTATCAGCCTTATAAATTGGTTACTAGCTTTTGGCTTGATAAGGCTTAATAAGATGTTGGGAAAAAGTGTGATGTAAAATACACAAAGTGCTCTGGAAAATACTTAATCCACCGTAGTTATTACTTAATAGAGGTGTAAAGAGCACCTAGTAAATTAGCAGGTAAGGCTGAATTAAAGCTTTTTTCAAGGGCATTGTAATGTTCCCCTTCCTCAGTCTCTTATGACGTCACTGTATGACCAGTGCCATTTTCTGGTAGAATCAAAATATATTGTGTATTTTACAGTTTGATGTGACAACAGCCTTCAGAAAAACAGGGTTTCTATGTAATCTAATTTTACAGTGTTTAGCCACTTCAGTGTTTGGCGAGTAATATAACTAACATTATCATTTACAGTGCAGAAGCTGTCAAAACTGATCATACATGAACACAGTCACTATGCATAACCATGCAACCCCCAGCAAGTCCACACAATTTACTGGCTAATCTATTCAACATTGGCAAACTGGAGTAACAGCTTAATTTCATTTTATTTATAGGTAATGTCACATATTCTGTCTTCCACTCAAAATAAAGTCTTTCAGCTTTTTTCTTTCTCAAATTTATACTTGCCCATCCATCTGGATCTGTGTGTGTGTGTGTGTGTGTGTGTATACTGATTTAGTAGAGATTTAACATGGTAGGGGAGTGTATAGTGAGATGTCATGCAAAAGTATTTTCATTAGCATAGCAGTAGTGTTTGTGTCTGAACGGGGACAAAAATCCAGTCTCCCGTGTGTGGGACATTGTTATTCACTGTGATGTGAAAAACATGGCTGAAACAGACGAAATTCTGAAGTGTTACTGAAAATATATATATCTACAAATCCTTAAGAAGTGGAGGGAAAAACATTTTTTTGACAGGTTTGGCCTAATAATCTCAAAACTCAAAGATGTTAGTTGTTATTAGGTCATTCAACCGTAAAAGGCATAGAAGGCAACAAAGCTACGACTTAGCCAACACAATCATAGTTATTTTGGTTGCATCACACTGTATCTAAAACTCTGATGATGACTAGCAACACATTTAAGAAATTAAGAAATATCAGTATATTTTATTATTTTATTAAATATCAGTATATTGAATAAGTGCCCTTTGAAATGCGTGTTGTGAATATTGAAGTTGATTAATGATAATAATAAAGATAAACAGTATGCTGGGAAAACCTGACATTTGTCGGTTGAGGGAACAGAAGAGCAGACATACTGTACTGCAGATATTAAGAGAGTCATTATTTTCGGATCTATGACCGTGGAGATAAGCACAAGAAATTAGACAAGAAATTAATCTTCTTCCTTTTTTCTGGCTGTTTTTTTTTTTTGTTCCAGCAAATCAAACTCCAGCATATAAGTTTGATCTTTAAGGCTTCCAGTTGTAGTTATGACTCATTTAGCCTGTATCCCTCTCAGTTTCTTGTCTGATTATGTTTCATCTTTTTTTAATGAACAGAAAGTTACAGCAGTGATTGCAGAGAAATTCACAAAGTACCCATGATAAATAATTTTCCTGAAGGGTAGTCTTATTTAGAGAGCCTCACTCAATATGCTGTACTTACAAAAACATCAAACACATATAAAGCTATAGTGGACCTTACTGACTGCAGTATTATCATACTGCAGGCTCATTTTTATTTTTTTGCCTCTTACCTAGTATGAGGATGTCCCTGTCTAGGGCAGTTGGTTTAAATCATTACTTGTATGACAAATAAATAGCTAAATAAATGTTTTGGGATATTTTAGTCTGTTAATGTCTGTGTTTCTCCTTTTAATTTAAATTATTCTTTGTGCTCTGTTATTTTGTTTTATTTGAAAAAAGGCGAAGATAAAGCCATATGTTCTTTCTCTCTTACACTGTAATCTCTGTGAGTGGTGTTCATTGATTATAGGGGAAAATTCAGACCCAGACCTCTTGTCTCACAGGCTAGTGCTTATTCTTTTGGATGAGCTTACACAGTGCATGGCTATTTCCCTTCCGTTATCACATTATACTGTAATTGTTTTATAATAACATCAGTCTGTGCTCCTTCCTGAGCCATAGAGGAATATGAATGAGACTAGTCAGATTGTAATGTTTCAATGGCTCGATTTTATTGACACTGCCTCAAAGTGAGGCACCTCTGCTGTCTGAAAAGTACGAAACAGAGATGGTGAAAGAGACATCTTCCCCGGCTTGCATGATTTGCAGTGTTGAATTGTTTTACTTGAGGCTCTTCTGAAGGGATTTAAATAATGTTTGTTGTCTATTGCTTTTTCACACTTGGCAGGAGCCAATGATGCCAGGGGGCTGTTTATATTTTTGTGTGTGTCTGCCTGCTCATTTTCACATGTGAAGCTAAAAAAGGCTTTGATTTTGAACTGATAGTCAGTGCCACATGACTTTCCCATGTGAATTTTTTTCAGAATTCAAACTTTTTATTTAGCCTGCGGTTTTTAGTTTCAAAACATTTTTTGGTTATTTGTTCAGGAAATATAGTAGTAAAGAAAATGAGTGAAATTAATCTTCATTTTATGTTGCTTCTTCTACAGAGGGTCTGCGTAATATTGCCATGGACTCCAATTCCTTGGGAATGCCGATGTCAGACCCAAACGCCTGGGCTACTGCCATGAACAACCTGGGAATGGCGCCCCTAGGCATGACTGGCCAGCCTCTCATGTCAGGTAAGCCTGGTATACACAGAAATATCCCCCTTCATGTGAAAACATTGACAGTGGTTTATGCTCTCTGTGCTTCCACTTGCACCTAACTGTACCTGCAGGTCAGAAACCACCCATCTTTTATTTTTTTAATACATTTTTAGGCAAAATGGCCTTTAAGTGCAAGTTATTCCTTTTTCCAGTATCAGGAAAAAGCAGAAGACATATGTTTAACATAACATGACAAAAAATGCCGCCAACACTAAATATAATTTACATTTTTCAGTATGTAGTGTCTCCACTCTTTGCCTTTTATTACAGCTTCCATTCTTTTCATGAGACTTACTTTCAGTTTTTTAAAGAAATTTTGCAGGGATATTTTTCCACTCCTCCAAAGTTCAGTCTTAGAAGTTGGAAAAACACTTACTCTGCTTATTGTAGAGAAGAGTTCATAGAGCTATGTGACTCCTACAAAAGCTTGTACCAAGTATCAGTTGTCATAACACTTTTTGAGGTGAGATTGACTAAAGCAGCCTTTTATGTCAACAGATGCTTGTTTGTATAAGCCTCTTGTTAATGTAGGTTTATGTCACTTGTCATAAAAGACTTTTGCTTGTGTCATGTAGTCTGAAGAATGTTGCCTTTTAGTAAAATATTCTGGAGTCTGGATTCTGGGTTGGGCAGGGCATTGTTCTGAGAACAACAGCAGCTTCTTTGTTTGATTTGAAAATGTTGTCTGTTTTATTTTCTCAGCAACAGTTACTTGACACCTACGCATCCTTGCAGACCCATAGCGTTTAGTTGTCTTCTCACAGTGGATTATCTCATGTCTAATCTCCTCAGAAATATCTCCTGAAAAAAGAGTGAACTTCTACTTAATGGCCATTTTTTACTGGAAATTAAATAAATGAAGGGTGGTCTACACACTATAAAAATCTACAATTTATGAACTAAGCCATGAACTAGTCAGGATTTAAGCTTTGCTGTCTTCAAAGATTCATTCTGGTTGCTTTCAGCAGTCATCAGAGCAGGTTTGTTTTGTTATGCCAGTTTGCAATTTGCGAACAGACACAAGGTTTGACTCTGTTGTTTGTCACAGACATGAAGTGTTTGAGAAGACAGACAACTTTATGTTGTTGCCAAACAAACAATAGACATTCAAAATAAATTAAAAGCATATTGAACGCATCAGAAATGTAGCTTCAACAGTCCAACCAAGATGTTTTTAAATCCTTTGTAATGTTTGTTTAGTAAATGTTCATCCACACTGCTCTGAAGAACAAGTTTTCAGCCAGTGTCTGCCACTGGCTGTATCTGAAAAACATAATAGGACATTTTATTGCACTTTTCTTTAAATTTAAGGGCACAGAGGGCAGATTCTGCTGCAGGAAGTGGTTGAGAAGCATGTTGTGTCCATTATCCGTGTGAAAACTTCAAGCCCACTCTCACACTGCAGTGTGGCCAATTAGTCTCAGGGGCTTTTTTTGGCGAGCTGATTTGTTGGTAGCACAATGCGAATGGATTGCTCATGTGTGCCTTACTCAGAGGGAGAGGCTTCTTCTGCCAGCTGGAGAGGCAGACAGAACATCTCCGCTGGTGTGCTGGTGTGAGTCACAGCAGTGGAGCATGGGCTTAAACCTACACACCTGCCACACTCTGAGCCTGCAATCCTCCCCCTGAACCCACCTTCATATATAATCCCCACCAAAGTGCAGCAAGCCATTCAGAGACGCTATGCACCAAACGTCTTTCTGATTCTGCTGGGATTACACTGGAAGGCAAACAGCAAAGTGAGCGACTTAACAGCATTCCACAGCAGTGCAGTAATTTGGAACTGGAACATGGAATAAATGAAATACCGTAAGGCCAACTGATGGGCCAGGGTGCCTCTTATTTTTATTTTATTTTCAATGCCATTAAAAACGTGGAGCAGGCATATATCAGCTCCCCATTAGCTATGTGTGCTTGCTATCCCAATGGCCTCCCTAAGTATTACTGCAGGCATGTGTCTTTCTTCCCTGCAGACATGTATCTTTCTTCTTCTTTATTAGAACTGCAGCTCTGTGCGCTTTATAAATTGTCTGTTTTATCTTGTTTAAATTCACATCTTATCAACAGAGTCGCCGAAATATATGCATTGCCGTACTCCAGCGTGAGTGCGTATTTCAAGTAAAGTGGACTGTAGGGATATTCAAGCCACCCACACTACTTTTTTCCCCTATTGAATTTCAGTGTTGATATTTACTGTGCCTCAGACTCTCCCTGTTGCAAGATCACTGCTCAAGAGCGAATTATATACTTTACCAAGCAGGTTATAGGCTGGCTTTTGGAAGGGTTGGAATACTGATGGGTGTTTTATGTGGGAGAGACCAGAAAGCCTTGATCTGTGAGCCACACAGCGGGGCACTGAAATGCTGTTAATGTGCCCTGGCTCTCTGGAGCTCGTCCTGCCACCGCTGTAGATTCGTCCTTCCAATCAGTTCCTCCATCGTGTATACTGGAGACCCTCTGCTTCCTCTGATTTTCAGCTTTTCAGACATATGTGGAATGTAAGTGATATATGCATAAAGGTTTGCAGATACCCCTTCTGATTAGTGAATTCAGCTACTCCAGAGTGTGCCCATTGCTAACAGAGATGTTTACACATTTGTATAATCTCCATAGAAAGCTTTGCCAATAGAATGGGATGCTCTGGAGCAGCCACAGAGGGCTCATGCCCATTGCCAAGTATTGGCTAGAGGGCTACAAAGCAGGGGTATGGAGCAGTGGAAATGCATTCTCTGGAGTGATGGAGCACCATCCAATACCTTTGGGATGAGTAAGAGTGACATTTATAACCCAGGGGCAGTTGCCCGAAAACAACAGAATTTAAACATTTAACATTTAAAGTAGGAGTTAGGACACCACTGGGGTTGTTCTAAACTTATGACAGTATTTAGCAAATTTGATCTAGTTAGTATGTTTCTGTAATACGCTTTTGTTATCTAGAGTTAGGATAATATTATGAACATAGGAACTGTTGTTGTGTAATAGCTTTTGTCCTAAATTCAGTCCTAATTGAAGTTGTCATGGTGACTAAAGCGATAAGATTTCAGAGTTAGGATGTTTCTGTAATACAGCCCAAGAACTCATCACCAAACATCAGACCTCACTAATGCTCTTGTGGCTGAATGCAGTCAAATCCCCAAAGCAATGTTCCAGTGTTCCAAAGAGTAAAGGCTGTTACTGCAGACAATAGGGGGACAAACGTCCTATTAATACCCTTGATTTCAGAAGAAAAGTTTGATGAGCAGGTTTCTTCAAACTTGTTGACATTTAGAGTATGTGTCGTATTTTGTTTACACACACAGTGCACCAGTAGTGCCGCATTTTAAAAATGCTAACAAAAATTTGTAGTATAATATTTTTTTTTTTATTCACTGTCTTATGTACTCCACAGCACTTTGTCCATTTAAACAGGACCACTCATGTACTCCTGACATTGTAGAGATTCAAACTCATCTTCCAACCACAGCGAAAAACCTTAGACAGCTACGCCACTTCTAAAACGGTTTTTCATTAAATATTCAGTTGTTCAGTGTTGGAAGTATTAATGATACAGTATGTTCAGAAAGGTGTGCTGTGACATCATTTACCATGATTACAATGTTGTATCGCCATATCGCCCACCCCTGGTTTGTAGCCATCTTTTTTTGGTTGGTTGATGCAGACTGTTCCGGTTCAGGCTCTCATTTATGGATCCTTTGAAGCTGCTTGAAGTTCACCTGCCGTACCCAGTTGTGTGCCGTAGCCAGTTGTGAACTGAGTGGATTGCAAGTTTGTTAGGGAGGGTTGGGTGCTGTCTGGCAGCCCTCCTCTCCTCATTAATCACACAGGGAAAACAGCTGTTGCCTCCCCCCCTTGCCCAGCCTGCACTGGACCCCTACTTTCCACTACTTCCATTCCACACCGCTGTTTTGCTGTATCAGCAGGTTTTGCTGCTTCACTTGCAGCTAGACTGATCACACATAGCACTCATATTTTTACTGCAGATTTGTTCTGGCCAATCAGCCAGCTTAAAAGCTCCATCTTTAGCCTATGTTGTTATACGTTGTTATACAGCTGATTAAAATCAATATAGTCATACTAAAACATCAGAAAATCAAAAAAAATATATATATAGGAAATTAACTGTGGTCAAGCATGCAGTTGCGAAACTGCACCATTCTAACAAAGAGTCCTGTATGTACCCTACATATACTAGGAATTCCTTTGTCTCACAGGCTGTTCACTTATTTAATGGTTAGTCATAGATTTTGTAGGGTTAGGTGTTTTACATATTTTTTCCCCTCATTCAGATGATTCTGTCCTTTATGTTGCTACGTGATCATTAATTTGCACTACCGATTGTTTTGTATGTTTTTAAAAGGGAACAGTCCTGTTTGGATTTTTTTTAAGTTAGAAGGTGCTACATCATGCCGGCAGGTGTGTAGGTTTGAAAAAAAACACTTTTTTTAACAGTGCAAAAACCATACCAATGTTGTGTTTGGTCATGTGTACCATCATGCATCGACTTTTTAGCAGTTACCTGCTCAAGTTAACTTATTGGCTGACTTGGAGTAAGAACTTTCATTAATTCCACAAAAAAATGTAAATCCTTACTGAAGTTGCAATGCTAGATGACTTGCAGTAAATGTGGGGCCAATCAGATAATGAAAGTAGAAAGAAAGAAAGAATCAGGACTCATTACTCATCATTCTGGGAGACTTTAACAGTGCAATTCTAACTAAAGAAATGCCCAGGTACAGACAGCACGTCACCTGTGCCACAGGAGAAGGAAACATTTTGGATCGTTGTTACACCACTAACAAAAATGCCTATGACACCATCACATGCGCTGATCTTGGTAATTCCGATCACCTCATCCTTATATACAGGCAGAAACTCAAAACCAGCAAGCCTGTCATCACAACAGTGGAGAGGTGGACCAGTGGAGACACTGAAAAACTACAGGGTTGCTTTGAATCCACAAACTGGGTTATTTT